ACATAGTCTTTATCTTTTACAATCCCTGTGGTTAAGTTAGGGTTAAAGTAGTTCTCACTTTCGGATCAAGTCGTTGAAGTGGGTAGTGTTCAAGTGCTTGAAGAAGTTACTTTTTTTATAATTTATCAGAATAAATTTAAATACCTCAATGCACTACTAAAAGTTATATAGACAGTACAGTATTGCATTGTGCTTTTTAGTGGCTTTGCAAGAATGTACTACAAATATTAAAATTGTGAGAGTAACCCTTCATACAAATTTCCTTGTAAATTCTTAAATAACTAAATAAATACCCAGGATGCTAGACTGAGGACTGAAGCATTTGAGATATATAGTGGTAAGACTTCACTATATATTTCCTATAAAATATGCTTTGGACATTTCAGATTAATTGCTCTTAACACAATTTAAAATTAAAATGAGTGTAGATATGCTATAGCCTGCCAGGAGCAGATAGCCCTGGGCTCATTAAGTCCATTTCATTACATAAAAATGACATTTAATTACATAAAATTATAAGCTATACCATGTGGGTGTCTGGAAACTAGCGTCTTCACAATTCGGAGACAGGCACCAGACATCTCGGTGTTTGATAGCTTATTTCTTGGGGAGACCATTGATCATCATAGTACAACTGGCATCATTCTCGACTCACAACTGAAGATCCAAGGTTCAATTACTAAGCAGGACAAATTATTGGGCAAGTTTTCTTTCAACTAATGCCTTTGTTCATCTAGCAGTAAATAGGCACCCAGGAGTTAGGCAAGTACTAATTTTGGTATAAAATTCCAGATATCATTTATTAACCATAAAGTACCTTTCCATGTGCTTGTTTGTGTCACCTACACTTTATTATAAATACCTTACGTTTTTTTATTTGCTTTTCAGTACATTATACTCAAAAAGTTCCAGACATTTTAGTGGTCTTGTTCTATGCAATGGTGCAGTCACTGGAGAGATTTTGGGTGCTAATGTCTGGGAACTGGCAACTTCACCCGAATACTGCACTGTGTATAGGTTATCCTTGAATAAATGGTTATATATTCCAGTAGCTATAGCTGTGACTACTGTACTGTATAGAACCTGCAACCTATGGCTAATTATGGTTCATCCTTTTTTCATTGTTGATATTGTACCAATAACTTTACTGTTTGTTACAAGCGGCCTGGAAAATGCAAAGTTACACATACATGCATTACTATAAACCCTTTTCCCAATTTCAAGAATTTCAAGGGGTGGAGATTCACCAGCTCGGAGTGAGGGGCTTTAACTAATACTGTACAGTAAACTATTATGATAAGCTGCACAGTTTAGGCTAATGCCAGTAAATTTTGCAGCAATGATTTACAAATAAATTATGTCTTCTCTCTTTCAGGATCCAGTCATCATATTAAAAGCAATAATTTTTCAAGTATTTGTTTATCACATGCAATTCTCTCTGCTAGAAATTTTAATGACCGAGGAAACCTAGCTTAGGGAAAAGTAACGTTCATAAAATATTCTGGGTTTTGAGAAGGGAGACAACAACAACAAAAATAATAATAACAACCACAATAATAAATAAAAAATAACTAATAATGCAGTATATACTGTGCAATATCTGGAATCTCCCTATAATTATAGAATTACTGTATTATTATTGGATATGGCTTATTGCTACACTATCTTAAACTTTGCTTTATGTACATGGTGATTATGACTGACAGTAATCCCTGTATGAGCTTTGTGTATATTACAAATAACTGTAAACAAAGCTAGATTTGTGATCAAATCAGACAAATGGAAAATTAATTATGAACGACGCATTTAAAGATTTTTGCTGAAGCCTCCAGCAAATAAGGAAAATCATTACACTGTAAACTAAATAAACAAAGATTAAAAGTAATGAAATTATATACAATACTGAATATAAATTTTAAAAAGAAATAGGTTAGTGTCCTACATCAGTGGCTTTTGCACAAGCTTAAATAGAATTTTTGTATACGAAAAGGAGCACTGGCAATTTGACCCTTTCAGTTTTCAATGCTCTTCTGGACATTCAGGAATGTGTCAGGTTAGGTACTGAAGGGGTGTGATCTATAGATGCATGTCTACGAGGTGCTGCAGTCTATACTGTACAGAGCAGGTCCACGAGATGCTGCGATCTACACACGCAGAGCCATGAGGTGCTACGTTCTATTCATGCAAGTCCACAATGTGCTATAATATACACATGCACGTAGACGAGCTGCTGCGATCTATACATGCACGTCCACAAGGTGCTGCGATCTATAGATGCTGGGACACGAGGTGCTGTGATCTATAGATGTAGGGACACGAGCTGCTGCGATCTATAGATGCTGGAACATGAGATGCTGCGATCTATAGATGCTGGAACACGAGATGCTGCGATCTATAGATGCTGGAACACGAGATGCTGCGATCTATAGATGCTGGGACACGAGATGCTGCGATCTATAGATGCTGGGACACGAGATGCTGCGATCTATAGATGCTGGGACACGAGATGCTGCGATCTATGGATGCTGGGACACGAGGTGCTGCGATCTATAGATGCTGGGACACGAGGTGCTGCGATCTATGGATGCTGGGACACGAGGTGCTGCGATCTATGGATGCTGGGACACGAGGTGCTGCGATCTATAGATGCTGGGACACGAGGTGCTGCGATCTATGGATGCTGGAACACGAGGTGCTGCGATCTATGGATGCTGGGACACGAGGTGCTGCGATCTATAGATGCTGGGACACGAGGTGCTGCAATCTATAGATGCTGGGACACGAGGTGCTGCGATCTATGGATGCTGGGACACGAGGTGCTGCGATCTATAGATGCTGGAACATGAGGTGCTGCGATCTATAGATGCAGGAACATGAGGTGCTGCGGTTTATAGATGCAGAGTCACAAAGTGCAGTGATCCATTAATGAAGGGGCATGATGTGCCGTGATATTTTAATGCAGTTCCATAGTGTGCAGCGATATATTAATACAGGTCCATAGTGGGTTTTTTTTTTTTTTACACACACACACACAGAGGAGTTCTTAAATTCTTATACAGCCACTAGCATGCATAGCATTTCGGGCAAGTCTTTAATTCTGTTCCCCAGAATACGATCTCGCCAAATCGTTTAACAACTAGGTACCCATTTTACTGTTGGGTAAACAGAGGCTACAACCAAGGATTTGTGCCCAGTAAATCCTCCCCGGCCAGGATACGAACCCAGGACAAAGCGCTCGCAAAACGCCAGGCGAGCGTCTTACCACTACACCATGGGCATTACATTGCGCTATTTATATAAGATTCTTATACTGTATTTATTTATATAGAGTATAAGAATCTTATTAAAATTGACTTATGGCAGAAAAATGAATATGTAGGAAAGAATATTGAAAAATATTACTTCAAAAATTATTTCAAAGCCATGCCATCTGTTCTTGACGAATTTGATGAACAAAACAATTGATGACAAAATTACCAATAAGTGAAGGAATTGCCATTATTGTATTCAGATCCCCTACTGTTATTTATGCAAGATAATATAACGTAACCAGTACCGTAGTCCTGAAAACTTTGCTAAACCTTACATGGCAAAAACATTGTAAATGATTTTTAGTGACATTTTGTTCAGTACTGTACTGAATAGTTGAGGGCCTCAGGGCTACCAACACTGCAAACCAGATATGACAGGGCTGATCTCATTGAAGCTTTTAAAATACTGAACAATTTGGAGGATATTGACCCAGAGCACTTCTTTGAAAGGTAAGATATAAGAAACAAGGGAACAACAATTTAAAGCTCAACAACAGAAAACAGGAGATGCTCTTTCACACACAGGGTTATATAAACTCATGGAACCCCTTGCCTGCCAAGCTGTAAATGCCAAATCACTGCTGCAATTGAAGATCAGGCTTAATAAAATCATTAGAATAAATAGAGGGGGGGGGGGACTTTTGACAAGCTGGTGGCTTTCTGTCCTCATCAAGGACACTATAGATATTGGCCCTCAGATAAATTCAGGCAAGTCACCTTATAGTCAAAATGAGACACGAACGTATTTTAAAATGTTCCTAAGCCAACCCAACATCGGCTTAACCCCGAGATAACACAGACTCGTAATCTAGCGATATACCATACATGGGTTTGACAATTAGAAAACGAGCTTTGTCAAAACGCTTTTGCACGATTTGTCCATACCTGGAATATACTTGGAGAGGGTTTTGGATGTTCTACTCCTAAAGCCCGGCTTGGGGCATACCCTGCCTAGTTTAACCAAATCGATCTACCTAACCTTACCCATTTTTATGCGTTGACCCCAAAACATCTAAATGACTGATGGCGATGCAAGAGCAGTGTTTTTTGTAGACCAACATTAAAATGTGAACTGAACAGATATTTAGGATTTAGCTTTCATCGACATAGGTGTCCAACCTCCTTCCCATAATGCAATATACCACAGTACACCAACATGACTGATTTCATGCTAGTCTTAAGGTCTATCAACTAAGTAAATAATACTAGCTTACTGACCAGCCAGAATGTATACTTTAGTCCTGAATATAATCCAAGGCTAAAAACTTTCCGTGTATATACACACTTAAATGGAGGTACACCTCTATGTATAGAAACCTTCTACCCATTATACACATACTGGCATACTTGTAGTATTAAAAGACAGCGAGGGTGGTTGTAAACCTTACAAGCACCATAGCTCTTTAATTCCAGCATGAACCGTCTCCATTACCACCACAAAACACCTCTCACACTCCCAAATCCTAATCCCCTTACCTAACATAGCCATTTACCTTAAGCTAATCACAGGGCTTTAGAGATTTGCTATGGGTTCCGTCTCAATAGTGCCGGCAGCCATCCAACCAACCATACCTCTACAAGGCTACAGGGGAGCACCCTAACCCCTTACAGGCTACAGGCCGCGAGTTACAGCAACACCTGTATCCTACAGAGAAGGAGAGAGAAAGAGATATACAACAGGAAACTTACCTGAAGCAGCAGCAGGACACTCGACCCTCCTCACACTATAACCTCCCTCACAGCACTGAGTTGACGCAGGCGCCGCCACTCACGCTTACACACATGTTTCCTTCACTCTACACCCCCGCACTCGCTATATATCCCTTCACATACACACTTTCACTCGCTGTGTCTCTAGCTCCTAGTCCCCCGACGCGGCTCCCAGGGGAGTTGATGTCTTCCCTACAGTGTAAGACAGGGAAACAGTTCACAGGTTACCATAGCCAGCGTGGACATCAATGGTAACTGCCTCGTCAAGACTTCACGCTGGGGCTAAAAGGCATGATTGACGTCACGCTAGCAAGCCATATTATGCCTGACGTCACGCTAGTAAGCCACACTATGCCTGATGTCAAGCTAGCAAGCTACATTATGCCTGACGTCACGCTAGTGAGCCATATTATGCCTGACGTCACGCTAGCAAGCCACATTATGCCTGACGTCACTCTAGCAAGCCACATTATGCCTGACGTCACGCTAGCAAGCCACACTATGCCTGACGTCACGCTAGCAAGCCACATTATGTCTGACGTCACTCTAGTAAGCCACATTATGTCTGACGTCACGCTAGTAAGTCACATTATGTCTGACGTCACTCTAGTAAGCCACATTATGCCTGACGTCACGCTAGTAAGTCACATTATGCCTGACGTCACGCTAGCGATCCACGCGGGCTTACGTCATTACTGACGTCACGCTGAGTCATTTTGTGACATCACGCTAGCGGGGTTCACACTTATAATACCGCATCTTGCTTGCGGGGCCACATGTATGAATGATCATCACACTAGCAGGCCCAGAAGTATGAATGACATCACGCTAGCAGGGGCCACACTTATGAATGATCATCACGCTAGCAGGGGCCACACTTATGAATGATCATCACGCTAGCAGGGGCCACACTTATGAATGATCATCACGCTAGCAGGGGCCACACTTATGAATGATCATCACGCTAGCAGGGGCCACACTTATGAATGATCATCACGCTAGCAGGGGCCACACTTATGAATGATCATCACGCTAGCAGGGGCCACACTTATGAATGACATCACGCTAGCAGGGGCCACACTTATGAATGATCATCACGCTAGCAGGGGCCACACTTATGAATGATCATCACGCTAGCAGGGGCCACACTTATGAATGACATACAAGTATGAATGACATTCCAGTAGCAGACCCATAATTATGAATGACGTTCGGCTTGTCCGCAAGTACTGTTGAATGGACAACACACACACACACACACACACACACACACACACACACACACACACACACACACACACACCACACACCACACACCACACACACACACACACACACACACACACACACACACACACACACACACACACACACACACACACACACACACACCACACACCACACACACCACACACCACACACACACACACACACACACACACACACACACACACACACACACACACACACACACACACACACACCACACACCACACACACACACACACACACACACACACACACACACACACACACACACACACACACACACACACACACACACACACACACACACACACACACACACACACAACACACACCACACACCACACACCACACACACACACACACACACACAGATCAACAGTTCTTTTATGATAAGGTAACGAGAATAAGGCAAGACAGAGGAGGATGGGCAGATTGCATATTTCTGGACTGCCAAAAAGCCTTTGATACAGTACCACACTAAAGGCTACTATACAAACTTGAGAGGCAGGCGGGAGTAGACGGAAACACACGATCATGGGTAAGGAATTACCTGACAGACAGGTGTCAGAGAGTGACAGTGAGGGGCGAGGAGTCTGACTGGCGTAGAGTAACAAGCGGAGTGCCTCAAGGATCAGTGCTGGGACCCATACTATTCCTCATTTATGTAAATGACTTGACTGCAGGAGTTGAGTCTTTTATGCTCATGTTTACGTATGATGCAAAACTAATGAGGCAGGTTGAGACAGATGAGGATTGTAAGGTTCTCCAGGAAGACTTAAACAGGTTGCAGAGATGGTCCGAGAAATGTCTACTAGAGTTCAGCACTAACAAGTGCAAGGTGATGGAAATGAAGCCAGCTAGGAAACCGGAAACCAAATATACGATGAAGGGAAACTACCTCCCTATAACGTCTAGAGAAAAAGACCTGGGAGTGGACATAACACCAAACTTAACTCCAGAGGCTCATATAAATAGAATAACGTCAGCCGCATACTCTAATCTGGCAAAGGTCAGAACATCCTTCAGAAACTTAAATAAGGAGGCTATTAGATCACTGTATACCGCCTATGTGAGACCAGTCTTAGAGTATGCCGCACCATCCTGGAGCCCCTATATTAAAAAAAAAACATAAGGAAGCTCGAAAAGGTGCAAAAGTTTGCAACGAGACTCGTCCCAGAGCTGCGAGGGATGAGGTACGAAGACAAACTGAAGAAACTAAACCTGACGACGTTAGAAAAGATGAGGGAGATGTGGGGGGACATGATATAGACCTATAAAATACTTATAGGGATTGACAGGGTGGAAACAAAAGAAATGTTCACAATGAATATCAACAGAACAAGGGAGCACTGATGGAAGCTTGAAACTCAGATGTGTCAAAGAGATATTAGAAAGTTTTATTTAGCGTAAGGGTAGTGAGTAAATGGAATGACTTAAAGGAGCAGATTGTAGAGGCAAACTCATTTCATAACTCACAAAGCTGGTATGATAGGCAAATGTCATGAATCATTGCATTAGACAACCCATTAGCTAGAAAAGCGGGGTACAAGAGCTAAAGCTCGATCCTGCAGAGAGAGAGAGAGAGAGAGAGAGAGAGAGAGAGAGAGAGAGAGAGAGAGAGAGAGAGAGAGAGAGAGAGAGAGAGAGAGAGAGAGAGAGACAGACAGACAGACAGACAGACAGACAGACAGACAGACAGACAGACAGACAGACAGACAGACAGACAGACAGACAGACAGACAGACAGAGACACAGAGAGAGAGAGACAGAGAGAGAGACAGACAGAGAGAGAGAGACAGACAGAGAGAGAGAGAGACAGAGAGAGAGAGAGAGAGACAGAGAGAGAGAGACAGAGACAGAGACAGAGAGAGAGAGAGAGAGACAGAGACAGAGAGAGAGAGAGAGACAGAGAGAGAGAGAGAGATGACCCCAACAATGACAGAGTATAGGTGCAACACATGATGCGGGTGGTAGTGGTGGTTGCTATTCAACACTGCTGGTGGTTGGTGGTTATACGATTATTCAACGCCAGTGGTAGTGGTGTAGGAGACCACGGTCACAACTGGTGGTGGTGGTGGTGGTTGTTGATGATGGTGGTAGTGGTGGTGGTGGTGTTCAGCAAGAGCATGTTCCAAAGCCTTTTGAATGGCTAGCATTTCTGTTTGTAAAGTCGAACACCCATTTGAGTCTCGAACTATTTATAGAGTTTCCTGCTTTAACTGCAGCTCCGATTTCTTGCCCCTGCTGGTCTACTGGTCCATCTGTGAAGTATGTGCAGCTGTCAGATGCCAAGTTGGCTTCTATATGCATCTGTGCAATGATACGTAGCAGATGAGGATTACTCTGGTTCTTTTTTCCCTCCAGAGCCATAAGTCTGCTGGCGGAGATTCCCAAGGGCCTTGCATAACGAAGTCTGCGTGTATTTCCTCGACGCCCGACAGGGAGCCGGTCGGCCGAGCGGACAGCACGCTGGACTTGTGATCCTGTGGTCCTGGGTTCGATCCCAGGCGCCGGCGAGAAACAATGGGCAGAGTTTCTTTCATCCTAGGCCCCTGTTACCTAGCAGTAAAATAGGTACCTGGGAGTTAGTCAGCTGTCACGGGCTGCTTCCTGGGGGTGGAGGCCTGGTCGAGGACCGGGCCGAGGGGACACTAAGCCCCAAAATCATCTCAAGATAAATCACAAAACAGGCCTTCAAGTATATTATTTGCATAAAATGTGAAAGAAATCTCGTTTCTTGCAGGGTCGGCGTTCAATCCCTGATGGTCCAAATGATTTGCTACCATTAATAAAATAAGAATTAAGGGCACTGCAGAAGGCCTATTGGCCTATACGAGGCAGCTCCTATTTATAACCACCCAAACTCATTCATACATACGTCTGCCCTACGCTTGAAACAACCCAGCGATCCCACTATTATTATTTTACCCGGTAATGTGTTCCATAACTTGGCTTAGCACATTCTCTTAATTAGTCTATGCTTTAGAGTATAGACCGAGTGCTCGGAGATTAAATGCTTCACCGATTCTATGCGGCCATTTAATTCGCTTTTCTACCTCCAGTATAGCTACTGTCTTGAAGTCAGATGTACGAGCATTCTGATTTCTCTTCGTTTAGGAGGTTCTAGATGCCAGAGGTGTAGGGACTGTATGACGCCAGAGGTGTAGGGACTGTATGACGCCAGAGGTGTAGGGACTGTATGACGCCAGAGGTGTTGGGCCTGTATGACGCCAGAGGTGTAGGGACTGTATGACGCGACTGTATGACGCCAGAGGTGTTGGGCCTGTATGACGCCAGAGGTGTAGAGACTGTATGACGCCAGAGGTGTAGGGACTGTATGACGCCAGAGGTGTGGGGTCTGGGTACCTCCACAGGTGTTAGAGAACATGCGGGTGTTGGCTAGGCTGCACACCAACACTCCCTCTGTGTACTAGTGGACGTCTGTATAGGCCTCATCTTACCGCTCGTCCACCTCTCACGGTGAGCTATTATGTAGCTTTATTTGTGTTTATGTAAATGTTATTACGTATCAACATGTAGATGTTCTCGTGTTTATATGTGGGGGCTGGTATTCACCCCTTCCCCTCCCCACACACATATTAACTATCGGAGTAGTTAACAAATGGAATGCATTAGACAGTGATGTGGTGGAGGCTGACTCCATACAGTTTCAAATGTAGATATGATAGAGCCCAATAGGCTCAGGAATCTGTACACTAGTCGATTGATAGTCGAGAGGCGGGACCAAAGAGCCGAAGCTCAACTCCCGAAAGCACATGTTAATATATTTTCAATAAAATATTCTTATTAATATGTGGAGAAGCACTAAGATGAATGTTGACACCATTTGTCTATATGTCGTATGCAAAGCTATAACAAATATAATAAGATATTCACAAGGAGGCGAGGAGAGAAGCACCAAGGTCAGAGACATTGTGTGTTGCAAGTAATTACGAGGTATTAATTCACCAAGATAGAGAGGAATGCTGAATTTTTCCATTTAAGGCCTGCACTCCCTAAACTCTGTATCCTAATGCCTGTACCCATCATTGATGAATTTATTATTCCTGAAATTCATTAGGTGTAATTTGTATTATGCATTTGGTAACTTAAAACTTGTACTTTAAGATTTATATCGTACAATGTGTAGAATAAATCATAGGGGAAACAATTCAGAATCAAACCTGCATTGTGAATCATTGAGCGTAAAGTACATATTGGATTATGAATTATTTAACCTCAAACTCGTATTCAGGATTATATATATATCTATATATATAAATATATATTATATATCCGCCATCATTAGGCTACATACTCGCCAAACTCAACTTTACTATACTAAATAAGATGACATTATCCGCTCCACAACTGACTGCACAATTCGCTGGAGAATAGTAACAGAAAATAAGTACATAAAATAAAATCTAATACATAATATAAAATAAATAAAATAATACATAATATAATACATAAAATAAAATAAAATCTAAAGTATGACTATAAGTAAACAAAAACAGAGCAGGAAAGATATATATCTAGCGGATTACACAGGAAATGTGACTCACTCCCGCGAGGGGCTGCCCACATGAGCCCTGAAGGGAAATACAGAATGTAAATGTACGCTTTCAATGATTTGCCCTTGATAGGCTAATTCAGATGGGTTGTTTAGGCTTGTAGGCGTCTGATGAGGGAATACAGTAATACAGTTGTGTATTTTTTTTACAGTAACATGTTGTTGTTATAGATTCAGCTACTCGGAACAGGTTCCAAGTAGCACGGGCTATGGTGAGTCCGTAACTTAAATGGCACAGGAGAGGGGCAAGTAGCACGGGCTATGGTGAGCCCGTAGTGGACTTACCTGGCAAGGGAGTGGTGCCGTCTCTCTGTACAGTAGCAAATCGAGAGAACAAATATGGAGGCTCCACCTGACTAGACCACTTGTTCTATCTTGTGCCAGTACTAACCTAACCTACCAGAGGACTCAAGAACAGAAAACGGGACAATGTTTCAATTTCGCGAGCCGCTACCATATTCTAGAAGGACAGTTTTTGGCCTTAGGTAACGTATACGTTAAAATGCGACGTCCTATTTCAACACTGCAGGATCGGCTAGCCTTATCCCGGGTTATATTTACTGCTATGTGAACAGAGACGGAAGAGAGGGTTGGGGAAGGCACCAACCCTGAGGAAACATGCCCAAACGTTTCGTCCTGTGAGGATACAAAATCATATTCATTTATCTGCCCGAAACGCTGCGCGTACTAGTGGCTTTACAAGCATGTAATTACTATGCTTTGTATCCTACAATCCCAATGTACCTTCCTGTATATATATAAATAAATAAATATACTACTTGGTTATGCTGACTGCGTATAGGAATGAGGAAAGATGTGTGTGGGGCGGGGAGGGAGGGAGGAGTTTCTTGACGTCATGTCTTCCAGGAAGGAGTCACTATTACTTCCTCAGATGAGAGTACCCTCTTACGTTTTAGCCACGATATTCCTTACCCAGTTGTATCGCCAGCCAGTAGTGAACAGGACGTGTAGTTAAAGCACTCTTCACCACAGCATCACCAAAAACAGCCTCGGCCAACCATATCATAACAGCACTCTACAACAGTGCCTGCATGGTAGTTACATCACTCGCCACCATACTATCGGCGTTGTTATCACTCGCAAAAGAGCGCCGATAGACATATACTGCAGTGTATTATACGTAATATATATATATATATATTCCAATGTCGGGCCCTGCAAATACGTTACTAATGAAAGTGTAAATTTCTCCTAAGTATCTCGGAAAACAGAAGTTAGGACACCGTTTTCTTTGGTGCTGACCTTGGCCCCACAGAGTAAGTTCCTTACATGTTCACTCAAAACGTTTTGTAGTATAAATAACACAATTGTACTGGCTGCCTGTAACTGTAACTTCGTCGGAGACAGGCAGCCTGTATATATATACATACACGTTAAGTACATATCGAGATATCCCCACCTGAAAGTCGAACTATAGCATTTTCCCAGGATTCAATCGTTCAACAGTTGACTAACTCCAGGGTACTAATGTGAACAGAGGAATAAGGTGAATGGAAACGTATTTGACCATTTCTGTCTCACCTGGGATTCGAATTCGGCATTCCCGAGTATGAGTCAACACAGCTGTACTACCGACACTATCCCATTTATCACGTGTTGGTCAAGTTGCGTTGGAACTGCAAATGTTTAGGCTACAAGTGTTTAGGCTGCAAGTGTTTAAGCTACACGTGTTTAGGCTGCAAGTGTTTAAGTTACAAGTATTTACGCTGTAAGTGTTTAAGTTGCACGTGTTTAGGCTGCAAGTGTTTAAGCTACAAGTGTTTAGGCTGCAAGTGTTTAAGTTACACGTGTTTAGGCTGCAAGTGTTTAAGTTACACGTGTTTAGGCTGCAAGTGTTTAAGTTGCACGTGTTTAAGTTACACGTGTTTAGGCTGCAAGTGTTTAAGTTACACGTGTTTAGGCTGCAAGTGTTTAAGTTACACGTGTTTAGGCTGCAAGTGTTTAAGTTCCAAGTATTTAGACTGCAAGAGTTTAGCCTGAAAATATTTTAAGTGCTCATCAAAAGTGTTTTAGCTGCAAATGATCATCACAATTGTATTTATCAGGGGGAAGCCCACAGGAGGACCCCCAGACCCACACGTGACCACTGTGGGCCTGCAACCCATATCATTCTAAAATGAAAGTACTTATAACGACCATCGAATCGAAAGTGCGAATAGAATCACTCCACCCAGGAAATTCTCACAGACTGTCGGACCCTAGACAATACATTCACAATTCGGAGATCTAAAATGCTATTCATGCCCGTGCCACCTTGCTGGTGACTAAACCTCTATCAATCAGTCACATTGACGCGCAGATAGAGGATCTTCGCTCTACAGTAAGGCTTCAGCTCTGGGGGCCAGACACTACTCAGGCCTGCCGATCATTTTGAAGGTTGAGCCCAAGTGGCAAGAGGCGTCGGAAAGCGCTTTTAGTGTGCAACATATCCGGTTACGAGGCAAGTGGATTCTGCTAAGTCCCAACATTGGTGAATTTCCCGGTATTTTATACATTTATATCCCTTTAATTTGCTTTAATAAATCAGTGTAAATAGCCTGATTTAGCCCTTGATGTACCCTTTACCAAGTGATAATTATAAATAAATGAAAGCCTTTGATAATGTATTATAAGAAATAGAGATAAAATATCACTGTTTTAAGGGTGACTATTTAATTATTCTCTGATTATTATCAAGAATTATATATGTATTAAAATATAGGAAAAGAAATAATTAAATAACACATATATAACGTTTAGAGCAAAAAACAGAGTATACCCGGATATACTTAATGGTGTGAGAGTTTTGGTAACACTGTTTACCGTTCTTGTGAAGTGCGTGATCTAAATTTAGACTGTGGGGTCCCAACACTTCATGTGTATATGTGTTTATACTGTATGTGTAGTATGTGTGTATGTGGAGGGTTGCGGAAGGGAGGGGCCGTACCATTACAGGTGACTAGTGCCTGACACTACCTCGGCCAGCATTTCCCAGGAGTGCATAGTAACTTGGGCACTTACTGGCGACACTTCACGGACTAGCTAGCATCCTCGGCACTCACTGGCATCCCATGGCACTGGCATCCCATGGCAATGGCATCCCATGACACTGGCATCCCATGGCACTCACTGGGAGGAGGGTAGTGGTGGGGGAGGTAGGAGAAGGTATACATAATCGGGAACAGCTAAACTTATGCTTATCGACGTCCCTCTAGTTAAAACCAAGGTCTAACCATCACCAAGATCCATCCCACAACCGTTAATTAACTCCTGGGTTACCCATTTGCTGTTAGGTGAAGAGAGGCATCAGATGCAAGAAAACGACCGCAGTGACTATTCAGTCATTTATCAGCTATATTTCATCTATTGTGTATTTGATTTACGATACCTTGCGTTATGTGTAGTTTCTTGCGATACCTTCCCAAGTATTTCTTAGTCCATTCTCCTAAACTGAAAGTACTTACAGTAACCATGTGGGGAAGTACGGTACACATATGTCGTGATGAACCAACAGAAAAGTAGACTTTTCTGTTATTGAATTTGGACACACCGTAAAATTTTTTATATTGATGATGCTAATAGAACCTAAGCTAACCGTCCTAGGCCTAATACACGCTATCTGAGGCCTAATATAGTACACATATGACTATATTATATATGTTAAATATAACCGAAAAAGTAAGATTAATAATTCTAACACGAATTTTCTCAATATTTCTTATGTTTCTTTTATTCTCAAAAAGAAATATTAAGAAAATTCGTGTTAGAATTATTAATCTTACTTTTTCGGTCATATTTAACAACATATGTTTACAAGAAAGCTACCAAAATATACGACTATATTATACTAAACCTACGAATATTTAAGTTTGAAATTTAGCTTTATTTTTTCGGACTATAACAATAGTACAAAAAGTGACTGACTGGGGCTCCAATGATTGGTACTTTCGATCACATAGCTACAAAAAGTACTCGGAAGGCTGGTGGGTTGTTCTTAGTACACATCTGGTGTGCAAGCACATTCTTGGTGTCGGTTCCCAGTACAGCTGTGGTTGTTTTGGTTGGTGAGTGAGTGCCAAGTGCTGTTGGAGACCTCTGGCCCCTGCTTCCTTCACCAGTCTTCCTCCCTCAGTGCTCCTGCTCTCGCTCATAGCAGTCCTCCTCACCGTAGCCTACTCTCGCTGTCACGGCACGGTTATTTAAGCTGTCACGGCACCGTTACTCTCTACTATCGCTGTCACGCCATGCTAACTCAAATATATTGAGTAAATTCCATACATTTAGTGTGTAAATCGTGTGTTTTTTTAATAGTGTGTTTGGTATGACCTGAAACAATAAGCAGGGCGAGCTCTGAAGACTATATCAACAATAGCAGTTGCTATGATAGACGATCGATTTCGACTTGGATCAATTCCATACCTATCCTGTGGGGCTGTAGTGGAACAGGTTACAGAGGTACATAATAGGCTCAGGAACTGAACCCCAATCTGTTCACCTCAAGCTACGATGCTTCTGAACCTTGTGTTGCAATGTAGTGCGGAGAACAGCGAACGATAGTGTGCACGGGTAACCCTGAAGAACATACCTGGCAGCGCGGAGAACCAGGACGGAGTTCTGGTATGATTGTCCCTGAAGAAACAATAACTAACAGTAGCCAAAAGGTTCTGGCAGCCTCCACCAGCAGACGCCGAGGTGGTAATACGTACCCCATTCTTCAAATTTAAATTCTTTATTCAGGAAAAGTACATACATAGTTGATTTACAAACATAAAGTTGGATTTATAGATAGAGCTAGTACATACAATACCTAAAGCCACTAGTACGCATAGCGTTTTGGGCAAGAGCTTCACTCTGTATCCCTCTAATGGATTTGTTTTCTCAGTAGGATCTAGAGCCTGTACTGGCATGATCATTATGACCTTATAGTAATGATGACGTAGATGGGTACTCAGTTACTCACCTCTTAGATCCTATTAAGTATATTGGGGTCAGGATAAAGATTTGGGATGGGACGGGGGTAAGGAATGGTGGCCCACCCACTTGGACGGTCGGGAATTTAACGCCGACCTGCATCAGGGGAGACCGTCGCTCTACCGTCCACCCCGAGGAGTAGTCAAGAGATTACTTGTCCTCTCGTGTATGTTTGATTTTTATTGAACAATCAGAATTTCCTCATCTTGTCGATACGTCTAAGTATGTCGTGACCATGTCCCCTATGTGTCTTTGTTTCTCCAGTGCTATAAGTGCAATATACCGCTAATATTAACCTGTTAAAGTGGCTCTTTAACAGGCTAATACTTGTATCAGTCCAGTCCAACAATTTGATTGTTGTGGCTTGTTTATTGTGCACCCCATACCCATCCTGTGGGCGTTGGTGGGCCCCATACTCATTCTGTGGGCGGTGGTGGGCCCCATACTCATCCTGTGGGCGGTGGTGGGGCCCATACTCATCCTGTGGGCGGTGGTGGGGCCCATACTCATCCTGTGAGCGTGGTGGACCCCATACCCATCCTGTGAGCGGGGGTGGACCCCACACCCATCCTGTGAGCGGGGGTGGACCCCACACCCATCCTGTGAGCGTGGTGGACCCCATACCCATCCTGTGAGCGGGGGTGGACCCCACACCCATCCTGTGATCGGGAGTGCAAAGGTTTAAGTGACATAATGAGTTCAGAGCACCAGTTGGCCCATGCGAGGCAACATTAATATAACAGTCCTTAAGGTTTTACTAATCCGGCTTATTTTTAGTGGATTAACCGATTCCGTTAAACTTGTGACGTATGTGGCTAGAGATAATCTTCGCAGTTATTTAGACATTTCAATATTAAAGTAGCGTGCGAACACGGGCCAACGTTTCTTAACCTGGCGACCATTTTAGTTTGTATTCGAAAATAATATTTTTGCATCTTACACGTAAATTACGCGCCTAAACGCTTTCTTAATAATATTGCTACAGTATATATGTTATAACCAATCCTCCAGAAATGATAGTAATCATAGTAACCATCGAGTAGTAAGTACAAAAGTACTGCTGGACGCAGAAAAAGTAACAAAGCAGCCTAATACAAAGAAACCTAATCTAAGCAATCCTAAGCCTATTATAACAGGAGGGCTACTAGGCCTATGAATGTTTGAGCTTGCTTTTTTGTTGCTTGACAAAATTAACAGCACAGAGCATTGCTGGCTGCAACCGTCCATTTTTGTACGTTTGACCAAATAGTTGTTACAAGTACTATCGTTCCAGGAAGGTAAACTGGTATAGAGATATGTCCTTTTATGGCAATGTCCTGTTTAGTGAGTATTTATAAACATTGAAGCTGATTATCTGTGATGTTTTGCGTGTCGCAGCCGGGGTCCGGTGTCATACACCAGTGTGGCAGCATACACCAGTGTTGTGCATTAGTGTGATAGCATACAGTGGTAGATAAGGTTGTTGTTGTTATAGATTCAGCTACTCGGAGCAAGTTCCAAGTAGCACGGGCTATGGTGAGCCCGTAGTGGACTTACCTGGCACAGGAGCGGTGCTGCGGTAGATAAGGGCCGGGGTGCCGTTAACAAAGGGGGCTTATCCACCCTGTGTGTGGTGCCCTTATCCACCCAGGGTGTGGTGCCCTTATCCACCCTGGGTGTGGTGCCCTTATCCACCCTGGGTGTAGTGCCCTTATCCACCCTGTGTGTGGTGCCCTTATCCACCCAGGGTGTAGTGCCCTTATCCACCCTGTGTGTGGTGGCCTTATCCACCCTGGGTGTGGTGCCCTTATCCACTCTGGGCATATCAACACACTATTCCTGGCGGCTATTATGACCGTTTTACACTGTTTACATGCGTGTTACAACTCTTGTATTTCTAGTGAACTCATGCGCACTCAATTCATAAACACGTCTCCCTTCTCTTGGCAAAGTGCCCAGATTTTCGCACCATGCTGGTTCAAGATTTTTTATGGATTATAACATGTTTTTGGTATTTTCATCCGCATTATGGCTCTATTTTTTATTATCCTCACATTGTTTAGTGGTATTTATTCTTACATTGTTTAGTTCTGACATTGAACTCTGTAATTATTCTTCCCAAAGACGAATATCAATCTTCATTTCCGCTTGACAGTCACTCATGCAGTGCGAATTTGTCTCATTGTGCCAGAGACATGTATCTCAATACAGCTTGATTGCTTTGGTGGTGGGCTTAAAGCCTATCAACCTCTGGAGGGTTATTAAGACCAGTGACAACTACTCTCTGACCAATCAACAAGTATACTTCAGTGCTGAACGTAGACCAGGACTAAGGTTAACTCAGTGTATACACACAAAGAAATAGGGTTCACCTCTGGGTGTACATATCCCCCTGTCCTTGGTGGCTAGGGAGTGACACCTATTCTTAGCGGGTCAACAACCTCTTTAAGTCTAGATCGCGTACGTGTAGCCAAGATAAATACCTTTTGTCCATGCTAAATATCTCCCAATGTTGTGGTAAATGAGAACTGATGAGTTAGCCAAAACTTTTGCTCGTAAAGAGGGACTTTATTACCATCTTGGACTGCCTTTGAGCAGCCTGAGGCCAGCAATATTCCGGGGAAAGGCTTTAGGCTTTATTTATGACTTAGGACTTTATTTAGGAGTTTGAAAGACGAGGCTGGAGATCTGTGGAGGTGCGACTGCACCCTGCGTGACGGGAGATGTCTCCCATGTACAGTACTATGAAAACCCGCGGCTCACATATATATCCACGTTTTCTGTTCCTCGGTTGGTTAGGTTAGGTGGGTGACTTGGGTTTGGTCGTTTCTGGTTAGGTTGGCACTTTGTATTTTGTACGTTGTGGCAAATTAAGACAACCAGCTGGTTGAGGCGTCTACTTGCTGCTAAGCCTTATACCTTGCGCTGGTTCCGGGGATCAATGTCCTCACGGACCGGACGGATCCCCCTTCTGGTTGGTGGTCTGGTCAACCAGACTGTTCGACGCAGCTGCTGGCAGTCTGACAGACGAGTCGTGTTGATCAGGTATCAACACGGCTGTGGCCTCACGCCTGGTTGGCAACCTTGGCTATATTATTCATTAGATGAAGTCAAGGAATGCGTACGCACTTGTACTCACCTCGTTGTGCTTGCAGGATCGAGCTCTTAGCTTTATAGGGGACCTTTATAGGGCAGGAACTTTTGTTGGGAATTAATCGGCAAGAACTTTGCAAGGACTTGGCGGAACTTTGCAAGGACTTGGCGGAACTTTTCAAGGGAATACTTGGCGGGAACTTAGTAAGGAATTATTTATGGCAATTTAATGTGATATTTAAATGTATTATAATTTATAGAGAACTTTAATATAACATGATTATGCTTAGTATTGATCTCCTTAACAATCTTTTAGATTGGTCTATCACGATGGTATATTTTGGTACTACACATACACTGGTGCCACTCACACTGGTATCTTCCACACTGGTGTCATATTTACACAGGTGTCATATTTACACAGGTGTCATACACTGAGGACATACAAAATATAAATTGTAAAGTGTAAAATAGCCTCCCTGATCCGTCACCTCACTGTTAACGAGGCTAGCAACAATGCTAAATATCACCACAAATTAGTATTAATAGCCTACTCTACTTGCTGCTAAGTAGAGTAGACTATTAGTGCTAAATATCACCACAAATTAGTATTAATAGCCTACTCTACTTGCTGCTAAGTAGAGTAGGCTATTAGTGCTAAATAAAGACAATGTCTTACCACACATTAGTATTAATAGCCTACTCTACTTGCTGCTAATTCTACCAGTTGCCCCTTCGTGAAATACTTTAACCATGTTATTTGCGATTTAATTAATGAAAATATTGTATATCATTTACAGGAAGCTTTAGTGTCAAAGAGTGTAGCCTGCTAAGCTTGTGATCTAGTGTTTGGAACTGTCACCAGGGCTACGTAAATAGACGCTCAATATCGCGCATGAAGGCCACATGTCCTTGATATGAAAGCTAATAAACTGTAGAAGTTAAAGCAGTATTATTGAGTGGTGTGGGTAGTGTGTGTGTGGCGGCGGGGCAGGACAGGAGGAAGCCAGGCAGGATGCCCCTGACGGAGGTGCGGGAGGCACCTAGCGTTTGTAAACCCAAGCAGGATGATGAACGTCATTGCCGCTGCTACAAGGGTCATGGCGCCGGCAAACACATGGTCGACGACGTGGAGGCGCCCTCCCTTCAGAAGTCTACATATTACAGCCGCGTCTCCAGCGAGGTAAGCTTCCCTTCTCCATATGTATCGTCACTGTAATATCCCAAGCATGCCACCGTGAATAGCTGTATGACAAATGGACCTGGTGTCCCTTTCTCACCGTAGCGGGTTACGGGAAGGTCCTGGGATCAATTCCCACAGTAGAACTGAAGTGTTTGAACACCGTTTCCTTGATTTCCAGTTCACCCAGCAGTAAATAGGCCCCAGGGAGATAGGCAACGACCGTGGGATGCATCCTGTGGAAGATCAGTAGGTGCCCAAGGGGACTCATTAGTAATCGTACCAAGTTTCTTGTCTTTGACTATTGGAAACCATATCAGGGGCATCCGCGTGAGACCAGTTCCCCCTCATAGACCAATTTACCCCCATTTTCTATTAGTCTCTCATCACAATTCCCACCTTTATTGAGTTCCTGCTGCTAATCCCACAAGGTTATGCCGTCTCATTGTTCTATTCACATCTCTCGTCCAACAACTGCCATCCTGTATCCTCCCCGACACTCAAATATTTCGCGTGTTCTTCATTTCAGACGAAAGTTGAACAGTTTGTCTTACACTTTTAATGGTCCTGACAGTAGAGGTAGTAGCAATAGTAGAAACAGTAGCTTAGTAGCAGTAGTAGCAACAACAGTAGCAGCGGTGCCTGAGCGTGGCGACTGGTGGAGGTACAGAGTAGCACCTTGCCAGACCAGGAGGAAAGGTGTGCCAGAAGCCTCAACCCGAGCCTAGCGCTGCTCTCCTCGCTCCTGTGCCAGGTAAGTCCACTACGGGCTCACCATAGCCCGTGCTACTCGGAACTTGTTCTGAGTAGCTGAATCTATAACAACAACAACAGCGCTGCTCTCCACACATCACTAAAAACAGTCAACACGCCACATTAACACCCTCAAACCCCCCTATCTTCCCCTCTTGTCTTGCGTGGTCATCACTACCACCTTCCTCCCAAACAACTCGTAAGTTTAATTCGGCTTGAAGAAGCGTACAGCTATAAGAACAGTTAAAACTTGGTGGAACAATTACAAATAATTAAGAACAGGGTCTAACTGTGAACAGATAGTTTTAAGAATAAGTACAAAGCCTAAATCAAGAACAAGAAACAAATTGTTAAGAACATATTCACACGCCACTGCATGTCTCCTTCCTGGAACTTAATATTAGTCTGGAATTGTTTAATATAAGTTAGAATTCAATTAACTTTATGAATAAAAGGGCGGACTCATATCTAAAAAATGTTTTCAAGAAATTTAAATTAGATTAATTAAATGTCATGCCGAGCGTGTATGTAGTTGTATTAAGTTTAATGTGTTTGGGATGAGCAACGGCTCTTGGGCCCCACGTCTCTAGCCGTAAGCGACTGCTGTATAGGTTCTGAATTTATTTATACAAAAGTTCTCACATTCTTGTACAACCACAAGCGGGCAAATCCTTAGTCCTAATTTAATCCCCATAATACGACCCGCCAAATCGTTTAACAACCAGGTACCCATTCACTGCTGGGTGAATAGAGGCTACAGTTAAGGATTGGCGCCAAGTAAATCCTCCCCATACGAACCCAGGCCAAAGCGCTCGCGAAACGCCAGGCGAGTGCGTTACCACTTTGCCACGAGGACTAATCTAAGAGTTGGCTTCACCTCTTAGAGCGTTCCATTTATTCACGTTCCTGGACACGAACAAAAGTGTGTGTGTGTGTGTGTGTGTGTGTGTGTGTGTGTGTGTGTGTGTGTGTGTGTGTGTGTGTGTGTGTGTGTGTGTGTGTGTGTGTGTGTGTGAGTGAGTGAGTGAGTGAGTGAGTGAGTGAGTGAGTGAGTGAGTGAGTGAGTGAGTGAGTGAGTGAGTGAGTGAGTGAGAGAGAGACAGAGAGACAGAGAGACAGAGAGACAGATAGAGACGAGAGACAGAGAGAGACAGAGAGAGACAGCGACACAGAAAGATAGTGTGAGTGTCTCACTTTATATGCATAATATATAACAAAGCAATTATTCAAAACTTAAATGAATGCCGCACACATGCACACACACAACTTGCAAGCGCTGAGGTGTTGAGAAGAGCCGTGTATGGAGCTACAGGAGGGCGGGAGGCAGACCTTGTACCTCAGAATCCTCCCTATAACAGTCACCATTTTCCACCGTGGGAAAATTAGCAGGTAACTTCCGGTAACATCCTGTCTGGTTCCTCACTGTATCGTTCAGGGCGACGGGGAGTTACCAGTACCTGGTATATGTTTAACCCGTATCGTTTTCTTCTATAACTCTCAATCTCCATTTATTCCTACAGACGTATGTGTTTTAATGACTGTAAGATTAAATTTATGAAGAATAAGGATATGTATGCACACTTTTGGTCTAGGGGCGAAAATATATACTCCGAATAGGAGGAAAATGGTTTCCGTAAGTTGAGGAGTTTTTCAGTAGTTAGGTAGTGTTCGCTCGCGGGGGCGGGTTCCCACTCACTATTTCTGGGGAAGTGTGGCGAGGGCGAGCAACCCTGTTTATGCTTCCCTGTCACGCTGCTTCCAATTTTCCTCAAATCTTGGAAAATCGAATATGTGAGCTCAGCAGACAGCACTATGCGGCGCCCTTGTTGACCCACCGGCTGAATACCGTGTTTAGTTCAAAACGAACGCAGCTTTCAGTTTTTATTGGTTGCCAAGTCAGCCAAGAGATAAATTTCCCATACACACTGGTATCAATGTTTAAAAATAAGTATTATTTTTCATGTTGATGTCCATGTCGGATATGATGTATACGGATGGATGTGGTATAAAGTATTGTTTATGCGGACATTTAAAAGCGGATTTTCGTGAATTTAGCAAATGTTGAAAACTCAGACCTGTTCGACCTCTTGTATTTACAGAAAATGGGAATTTCAGCGGTTACTTTGCCAATACCAAGGATTCCCTGTATAATTGTTGACCTTACAGGTATACATTCCTTTTATTCCTCACGTTAGTTCTTGCGTAAAAATGGTCGAGAAATGCGCAATGATTTTGTCATCTGAAACGTCATGAAAGCATTGTTAAAACCAACCAACCAGAATGTTCAGTGATGTGTTTTTCCCATTATGGGAGAGGAAGAGTGCCTCATAGTGGCACTATAAGAGTGTCTCGACTAAGTACTGAGGACGCAGCTTACAACAAGCTTGTAAGAACTGAATAAACATCGACTATCATGAGTTAATTATTACAAACTCTGCCTTTATTTGATAAGCCCGGCTTACATTGTGTCCCAGTATTTAGCCTTTTTTCCCCACGTACTCCTCAGTCTGATCTGCCTTTAGTGTGCTTCTTTCCAAAGTGTTCCTTCTCTGCCTCTCAGTTAGCTTCATTCGGTGTGTTATCATGCAGTGAATTATCTCCGTCAAGCTTCTTTTTAGGCTTTCAAGGGAATGTGTTATTTTTTAATTTGACGACCAATACTATAGAGCATAATTCTTCTGGAATAACAAGTGCACAGTAAGGTTTATATTGTGGAAGATGACCGTGCGACAGGTGGTGGTTGTTGTTATTTTAGATTTAGCTACTCTGAACGAAATGTCCATGTAGCACGGGCTATGGTGAGCCCGTAAATGTGACAGGACGTTGGTTCTCTTCCATAGATATATTCACTGAGGTGAACCTCTTTTCCAGGGCTATATATACTCTGATGTGTGTCCCGCTTCTTGCTTTATATGCACCCAAGAGTTTATCTTAGTTCTGGAAAGGGTTTAGAATGAAAGGTATATTTACCGGTTGGTCAGTGAGCTATTGTGGTGGTATTAATAACCCTTCGGAAGTTGATAGACCTTAACAGCCCTCCGGAGGTTAATAAGCCTTAAGCCAAACACCAAACCTTTTTGCGTCTTATAAGACCCACCTGAGAACCAACTGCCTGTTCCACCCCTCACCTCTGGCTTATCCATTCCATATTAGCCCTGAAAAAGGCTCACCCAGGGAATGTGCTAATAAGCTAGGTTAAAGCTCTGAACTTAACATTTTCCTAGTAATAATTGAAATAACTAGGCAATTGGCCAATTACCTGAAGTATTGTGATTGCTTTTTTATTCCTGAATTGTATCTTGATTGATTAAAATGAAACCTCTTGTTTATGTATGTTATTGTGAAATTAATTGCTGGTAGTAGGCTATTTTCGTTTTAAATTTGTTGCTTTTTTCTTCTCTAACGCTGTAGAAAGCTTTATGTCTGGTTTCCTTGTAGTTATTTTGTTAATAGTTGTGTTCGAATCTACATAACTTTTTCAGCTTAATTTTTTTTTAAATTGTAGCCATTACTGGAAAAGCAGAATTGCTTTCTTCCAGTATATCCTGTTTCTTTTATATGTTCACAGTATACGACGTGTGGACTTCCAGATGACAGCGCTGGCTATGTAAGGATCATAATTTTGCTTTGAGACTTACGCATGTTGTGCCCTTCATATAAGATCCTAGAAATAAATTCAGATCCACATAAAGATAAATGCAAACGTAATACAGAACTTAAAATCAAACAGGACCAAATATACGGGTGATGATCTATATGACTAAAAGAATGGTTAACGTTCGTCTGTCGTTGGCCCAGGACAACGTCAGACGAACGGTTAACGTTCGTGTTCGTGTATCGTTAGCCTAGGACAACGTCAGACGAACGGCTAAGGTTCGTGTGTCGTTAGCCTAGGACAACGTCAGACGAACGGCTAAGGTTCGTGTGTCGTTAGCCTAGGACAACGTCAGACGAACGGCTAAGGTTCGTGTGTCGTTAGCCTAGGACAACGTCAGACGAACGGCTACGGTTCGTGTGTCGTTAGCCTATGACAACGTCAGACGAACGGCTTTTCGTGTATCGTTGGCTGAGAACAACGTCAGCCGAACGGCTCAAGGTTGTGTGGTCGAGTTATGTCTATGTAGTTTAGATATGAATAACACATCAGGGGTTCTATCGTTAAGAATGACAACTGTCACACTATATTAATAATCGAACTTTGTACTGTATCTCGTTTATTCTCAACGCTAAAATGTTCAATGTAACTAATTATTCACGTCTGACGCCATAGACATAATCCGAACACAGCGTACACCGCCTCCCAGCGTGACGTCGGCACAAAGGATGATTTTATACTTAAACCAGATTATTATTAATTAACTCATCCACAGGACAATGAGCTTTAAGTAATTGGAATTTACTAATTGTGTATTATGAAAATCATCTATTCTGTACTTTTATCATACGAAATTGTGCTCCATATGTAATGCAGCATTTGCAAATGCGAGACAAATTGTTTTAACCAATTGAAATAAGTTTATTGAGGTAAAATACACACAAAGGGATGAGGTAGCTCAAGCTATTCTCACCCCGTTCAGTACATCGTGTTAATACATACATATAAACACATCACAAACAATAAACGTATTACCGAACATTCTGAGAGATAAACATATGCATTTCCTCCATTACACTATTAACCAATCGTTTTCCCCCAGTACACGCAGAACCGGATTGTTAAGGGTGGTTTGAAGTTGGCCAAGAAGGGCTTCCGTACCCTCAGGGACGAGTGCTTCAAGGCCAAGAAGATCTACGAGGACCCGGAGTTCCCGCCCAATGACTACTCCATCAGCTTCAACGGTGTCACCCGCAGGTCCTACGTCTGGAAGAGACCCCGCGTAAGGCATTATATGTCGTTTCTATAGGGCTGTTGTCGTTTCAGATTTAGCTACTTAGAACGAAGTGTCCATGTAGCACGGGCTATGGTGAGCCCGTATCTATAGGGGCCCCTAACTGCTCTCATTATAGGTTTTTGTTAACTGATCAAAGAGTACCTCACGCTGAAGGAAAGGGATTGCGATCACATCTGATCCGGAAAAAAGGGATAGTGAGGGATATCTCACGAGGAGGGGACGATATCTCATGAAGGGATGATATCTCATTAAGATATATAAAGAGGAAGGGATGACATCACTGCCTTCTTAAGAATACCTATGAAAAATGTTGAAGCTCTCCTGTTACAGTAGTTAATTATACTAGTATAAGAATATCGCCCTGGTTTTAGCGTGAGTCTTAACCATATATTACAGTGGTTATCACCACTTTCTCCTATGTAGTTTATGCTTTTATTTCTCGCACTATATTAACATTGCCACTCAGTTAACCTCGAATTGGAGACTTATTAGCCTCCAATTGCCGAGAATCCTTTGATAACAGTGGACTTAATAATGGCAACGAATGACAATGCCTTAATTCTTCCCCAAATATCATTGAAAAAACGTTGGTGTTTCTACTTCCAGGACATCGTAGACAACCCACGGTTCTTCATAGATGGTGCTACACGGTTCGACATCCAACAGGGTGAACTGGGTAGGTGACAAGATTTTCATTTTACTTTCGGGTAGAGCTTCCATGCTGTGGTTTGGCAACACTGAATGCAATCTAACTCTAGTTCCTGGTTTCGACCCCAAACATTCAGTGAATAACGTGGCAACTGATTGTATAAATACTATCAACTACATTATACACTCATGGCAACAATGCCTCCAACGAATTATTATTCATCTGACTCCACGACAGAAATCATTTTACTGACTAATGTTTGGATAATGTGTTATTATTTCGGCTTAACTTTACAATTAAATAGCACAATTATTGTGAATTAAAAGGAATCAAACCGGAGGGTATAGAGCTCTGTGGCCCAGTGGGATCACAGAACTCATTCCTAGTGGAAGAAACATTCTTAGTCCGACTCCTATTACTTATCCACATGCATACTTAACACAACAGACGTCAACATATAACAGATCTGCGTGTATATTTTTAACACGGGGTGGGTATGGGGTGCATAATATATAAATGACATAATTGAAACATATATCTTCTCGCGAATACTAAATATCGTACACAAGACTGTCCGCCAACGGATTTTTAAATCCTACTTAACCCTTACCTAATCTAACGCACCCTAGCCTAACATAGCCTAACCACCCTAGCCTAATACAACCTAAACGTTGCTAATCATCTTAACCTAACGACGTATACGGGTTTGACAGTTTTGTCGAATTATTTTGCGTAGGATTTGAGCATAATCCTTTCTCTCAGGTGACTGTTGGTTGCTGGCAGCCGTGTCCAACCTCACTCTCAACCCTCAGCTGTTTCATGTGGTGGTGCCTTGCGACCAAGGCTTTACCGACCTCTATGCCGGCATCTTCCATTTTAAGTGAGTCCCTGTTATTTTTAGTGAGTCCCTGATATTTTAAGTGAGTCCCTGTTATTTTAAGTGAGTCCCTGTTATTTTTAGTGAGTCCCTGTTATTTTTAGTGAGTCCCTGTTATTTTAAGAGAGTTCCCTGTTATTTTAAGAGAGTCCCCTGTTATTTTAAGTGAGTCCCTGTTATTTTAAGAGTCCCCTGTTATTTTAAGAGAGTCCCCTGTTATTTTAAGAGAGTCCCCTGTTATTTTAAGAGAGTCCCCTGTTATTTTAAGAGAGTCCCCTGTTATTTTAAGAGAGTCCCCTGTTATTTTAAGTGAGTCCCCTGTTATTTTAAGAGAGTCCCCTGTTATTTTAAGAGAGTCCCCTGTTATTTTAAGAGAGTCCCCTGTTATTTTAAGTGAGTCCCTGTTATTTTAAGTGAGTCCCTGTTATTTTAAGTGAGTCCCTGTTCTTTTAAGAGTCCCCTGTTATTTTAAGAGAGTCCCCTGTTATTTTAAGAGAGTCCCCTGTTATTTTAAGTGAGTCCCTGTTATTTTAAGAGTCCCCTGTTATTTTAAGAGAGTCCCCTGTTATTTTAAGAGAGTCCCCTGTTATTTTAAGAGAGTCCCCTGTTATTTTAAGAGAGTCCCCTGTTATTTTAAGAGAGTCCCCTGTTATTTTAAGTGAGTCCCCTGTTATTTTAAGAGAGTCCCCTGTTATTTTAAGAGAGTCCCCTGTTATTTTAAGAGAGTCCCCTGTTATTTTAAGTGAGTCCCCTGTTATTTTAAGAGAGTCCCCTGTTATTTTAAGAGAGTCCCCTGTTATTTTAAGAGAGTCCCCTGTTATTTTAAGTGAGTCCCTGTTATTTTAAGTGAGTCCCTGTTATTTTAAGTGAGTCCCTGTTCTTTTAAGAGTCCCCTGTTATTTTAAGAGAGTCCCCTGTTATTTTAAGTGAGTCCCTGTTATTTTAAGAGAGTCCCTGTTATTTTAAGTGAGTCTCTTATTTAAAGTGAGTGCCGGTAATTCCAAGTGTTTAATTTTAAGTGTCAATAATCCTAACACAGTGCAAAGTATTATATTATATATTATATATATATTATATATATTGCTGCATCATAAAGTCATAAGTGTCTTGAATGATAATGAGTTTGCTCAATTGTATGGGAATTATCTAAGATTATGAAATGATCTTTTGTGAGATATTTTTTTGGGTGGTCTTGTGTATATGATTCTGAACTAACAATTTCCTGGTGTCTCACTTTAGCGCCCTCACCAGAGTACCGCTTGGATAATAATTAAAAAAAAGTGAGTAAATATATCTGATTTACAGATGGGGAAGTTTGCAACTCATGCATGTTATCTAACATTAAACATTCACAGTGCATACTTCAAATCCTTAAGACAGTTTGAAGTATATACTGTAAATAATAAAGTTCCTAGACAGCTTGAAGCATGCACTGGAAATGGCAAAATTTCCAAATAATTTGAAGTATTGTAAATAGCAATGTGTATCTATTATAATGTCTGCAGATTCTGGCAGTATGGAAAATGGCAGGAGGTGGTGGTGGATGACATGCTGCCCACGTACAATGGACAGCTTGTCTTCATGCACTCGAAAACCAAAAATGAATTCTGGTGTGCTCTTCTGGAGAAAGCATACGCCAAGTGAGTACCACACACCGGGAGAAGCGGGATTCAAGAGCTGTAGCTCAACCCATACACGTATAATGTATGTGTATATAACTAAACATTGTCAATACTGGTGGTCTCGCGACAATAATCTATTATGGAATATTCCCGAAAGATATAATTGCAGAACTTTCAGACGTTTGACTGTTATACCTAATTTACAAATACAATATAAACTTATGAAAATGTAATAAATAAACATTTACATTCACAATAATTACTCAACATTCCCGCCCCAATCCATCCCCTTAAAGCGAGTACTCATATATGAATGAATATATAATACATAAATACTCATATCACGAATGAATATATAATACATTTCTATAATATACTGACCTGTCAAGCGTTGAGTGTCCATATAATGTCCATTTTAATGTCGGAAACATTTTGAAGCAATGTATATTGTCCCACACAGGATGTATGGAGGATACGAAGCCCTCCGAGGAGGCAACATTAATGAGAGTATGGTCGACCTGACAGGAGGAGTCGTAGAGATGGTTGATCTCCATAACCCCCCACCCCAAGCTGTTCTCCCTCTTGTGGAGGCTTACCGTAGAGGCGCTCTCA